TACCTCATACGGCGAAACATCAAAACGAAACGACCTAGCGACAAACTCGACTTCAAAAAACTAGGACCTTTCGAAATCACGAAGAAAATTTCCGAAGTCAACTACGAGTTGAAACTACCGGAAACAATGAAATGTCACCCAGTCTTTCACGTCTCATTATTAGAACCAGCACCGGACGGTACACACACCGAAGACTGCATCATTGTGGAAACAGATGACACCGAATACGAAGTAGAACGCATTCTAGACCACCGGAGGAATGACGAAACAACAGAATACTTCATTAAGTAGAAAAACTATGGACACGAAGACGATTCGTGGGAACCAGCTAAGAACCTGGAACACGCTCAGGAAGAACTCCAACAATACTGGCACCAGAGGACGTCTCTGGACCCCAGTCGTCCAAACCGACGCCAGACCAATCCACAACGCCAATAGCACCCAGGGAATGAAGTGCACCCACAGTTTCCGAGCTAGCACTCTGCAAACCAAGAACCTCGGAACGATACTCATTCTCAACCTCCTCCACACGCCGCAAACCAGATCGAATGAGATCAGTCGCCTCACGATTGATGTCCTTGCGACGCCTTCGTAAACGACGAATCTTCGCCATAAGAGCTAACTGCTCTTCTTCAGCTTTCTCAAGCTCATCATCAATTTTTATTTTCTGTTGCCGAACCCGAATGAGGGAAGCCGCGGAAGGACCGTGAATGTCGCAAGAATGCTTATCGGCAACGCAACGCGAACAACGAGAAGAATTAACTTCGGAAACGACGCAGTCGACACCGGCAGCCGCGCAACCGGAACAAGGGACAGGCATGATGAACCCGAACAAATCGACAAGCTGGCTAAGTTCCTTATAAGCCACAGGGTTCTTTGATTTGGATTTTTGAACGCGACCTGACATGATGTCAGCATTATGAATAAACAAGGAAGCACGATTGACGACTCCCCAACCTGGGAAGCCACGACCTACTTATGTTGGCCTTGAGGACAAGACCATCGAGGGGAGACCTGATGTTACGACCCGTCAGATGCACTTAACAGACCCACTGGGTCGGGCGGCTACGACAGGACATATGTACGTAGGATCACGGGAACAAGGGTAAACCTCTCGGCAAGGAAGAACTACGTTACAAGTCACGTGACAATCGACCAATCAGGACAGAGTCGACAGAGTCGACGAGCGACTCTGTAGACTCCTGTAAAGGACCAATCAGAAGAGAGTCGATAGAGTCGACGAGCGACTCTATAGACTCTCCAAGACATTGGGAAACGGGACTTGTATATAGACCAGGACTTGAGTATCTGCTCAAGCCCTCTAGATAGTTCTTCAGCAATCAACTTGTGATTCATCCTCGAATGACTTTCAGCTTACCTCTCAGTATTGTGAATACTAAGAACCTCGTTACCATAGTGTAAGACTGATCACCTTACCCTAACCCTACGATCTACCAGAACGACCTCTACGAACCAGTGTTAGTCTCTTACTGCACCTTCTGTTAGCAGAACCCTACTGTCAGATAGCTGGCCGTAACACTTTAGTACTTCTGTTGGAACTGTTATCGAAGGGAGAGCCCTAAGATCAGATAATAGCTTTTCTATCGGAGTATTATTAAACTTTGCGTATAGCCTTCTAATCCTGATGTTTACTCTTAGTCTATCTATACGCATAATACTACAGGTAGGGATCAACTTCTATAAACCATAGGAATATTTATACCAAAGCCTTACGATAGGCTAGCATATAATAGCCTATGTAGAAGGCGTCCATAGATATTTAGGTTTGTCTATTAAAGATAAAGAATAATTATTAGTAAATACATTTATTTACCTACGGACTCTTTTCTTATGGTTTAGATTCCCTTAAGTACTCCCCCGGCTAGTAACTATATGTCTTTTAGTTTTAGACCTACTAGCTATAGAAAATACTTACTCCTAGGCTTACTAGTATGAGCTCTTAGTACTATGAGATCGTTGGGGTGGTAAAGTGCCAACAGTCTTTTTATATATCTACTGGATTTAATTAGTAATAAAATAGAAGATAAAAAATTTATTCACGGTTCTACGTGGCAGGGAGCTGTTTATTATTTATATCAAATTGATAGTATATATGTAAATACTCATTCAACCATGATTTTTCTTAGTTTAGGTGTTTTATGTTAGCTTTATATACGGCTGACTTCTCTAGATTACTCCTTCGTGATAGACGCTTGTGAGGCCGTTGTCGCGATAGTCTTGGGCATTACATAAGCTTGTCGTTGTTATGTAATATGGATCATCTTATGTAATATAGTGCCGGAATGTGTGGCTCCCTTCCTCCCGCCGTCACCCAACATGTTTGCAGCCATCCTTGCCATTTTTACTCGTCGTTCGCGTCCTCTCTCTCTCAATCTCTCCCTTCCCACCCCAACCCTCTCTCTTTCTCTCAGCTCTCGGGCTCGTTCATTCGCCTTGATTCGACGTAAAGCAGCTAGAACAGGATGATATTTATAATATCTCGATATAAGATAAGTTATTTTCTTAGTTCTAATTTCTAGCGTCGGACTGATATATATTGAGAAATCAATAGCTCTACGTAGACGCGTATTACTTACGTTCTGTTCCCCCACCCTGGCAGCTTGCCCTAGCGCCGTACGAAGAATAAACCGCGCCTAGTGGTCCCTTATTATCCCTTTCTTGTGTTTACTCTCGCCCTCTCTCGGAGGATTAGATACTCCGTTAATGCTATACGTCATTTCTCATTCTTGAATATTATCCCTTAGTTTCTCGTTCTTATTCCTATCCTCCTCCTATATCCTATTGCTTACCTCTTCACTCTTTACTCTTAACATGCTCTCTTACTATGTATAATACTTTTGTTAGATGATTACGGTTTATATGATTAAAAGAGTTATTACTACTATCTAGGTATGACTTATCCTTACTCACTTATAAATAAGGTGCTACCTAAAGAGATTAGTGATAAGGTAATATGAGTTCGCTTTCCGTCCTCTGCTACACCTTGTCTATAAGAGGGGCAAGAAAAGCGCTCCAGGGGCCTTTCTGCTTTGCCTCTCTACTATGAGAATGGGAAAAGCCCCCAGGGGCTTTTCTGCTTTACCTTCTCCATGGTAAGAAGAGAGGAAGCCCCCGGGGCTTTTTTACTTTCCCTCCTTCATGGCGAGAACAGAAGAAGCCCCCGGGGGCTTTTCTACTTTACCTTCTCCATGGTGAAAAGAGAGGAAGCCCCCAGGGGCTTTTTTACTTTGCCTTCTCCATGGTGAGAACAGAGGAAGCCCCCAGGGGCTTTTTTACTTTGCCTCTCTACTATGGGAATGGGAAAAGCCCCCGGGGGCTTTTTTACTTTACGTTCTCCATGGTGAAAAGAGAGGAAGCCCCCAGGGGCTTTTTTACTTTGCCTTCTCCATGGTGAGAACAGAGGAAGCCCCCAGGGGCTTTTTTACTTTGCCTCTCTACTACGAGAATGGGAAAAGCCCCCGGGGGCTTTTCTGCTTTACCTTCTCCATTACGTTCTCCATGGTGAAAAGAGAGGAAGCCCCCGGGGGCTTTTTTACTTTGCCTCTCTACTACGAGAATGGGAAAAGCCCCCGGGGGCTTTTCTGCTTTACGTTCTCCATGGTGAAAAGAGAGGAAGCCCCCAGGGGCTTTTTTACTTTGCCTTCTCCATGGTGAAAAGAGAGGAAGCCCCCAGGGGCTTTTTTACTTTGACTCTCTACTACGAGAATGGGAAAAGCCCCCGGGGGCTTTTTTACTTTACCTTCTCCATGGTGAGAACAGAGGAAGCCCCCAGGGGCTTTTTTACTTTGCCTCTCTACTATGGGAATGGGAAAAGCCCCCGGGGGCTTTTTTACTTTGACTCTCTACTACGAGAATGGGAAAAGCACCCGGGGGCTTTTCTGCTTTACGTTCTCCATGGTGAAAAGAGAGGAAGCCCCCAGGGGCTTTTCTACTTTACTACCGGGGCGGGGCACGCCCACTACTACTGCTGTTGAAGTCTTATGTCCGCTACCGGATTTAACGGACCTTCGGCCAGAGATGCATCTGGCCTCTCGATTCGTGTACTCTTAGCAGGCACCGCCCTGTCGCTCATCCGGGATGTGAATGCAGGGCTGTATGGTATCTAGGACGATCTAGTGGTGATGGTTGCCGCTGGTCGTTTGAGACTTTTATGTCGCCATATGCACGAATCCAAATCTCCACAACCTACAGGGCACAGAAGCTGCGAAGTAGAGTTACCACTTTTTAACACAGGCCAGCCAGGACACAATGCTCGGCTGTACAATCACACAAGAGTGCCATGAGGTGACGCTTTTTGATATCAACCCGACAAAATTTAGTTAGCGTCGAGAGACTGGGTTTCAGTGTTTTATTCGAGTCGAAGATACTGTCTGAAATCAAAAAGGCTCTTCCTGGCTGCCTTTTTGTCACTGTCTCGAAGGGCCTTAGAACAGTGCACCTTGCATATTAGACGAGGCTGCCTATAGGCCTGTCCATTAAGGCAGATGATGTGATAATTCTTTGTGCACCAGTGGGTTCAAATTCATGCAAACGCAAGATGTGATAGGAGGAGTTGAGGTAATGAAGTATACTATACTATCATCCGAGTTCCTGACTATACGTAGACTAACGAGTGGTACAGAAGAAATATATGTAACCGAGAACATAGTCTGAGATTCATACACCATCTTACCCATCCAGACAAAGTAAGTAAAGTGACAGCCGCAAATGGAAGAAGCGATGAGTTTCGAAAGTCTAGCCGATGAAGTGATACGTACGTTACCCTCATGCAGAATGGTCTAGATGTCTAACAGGCGTCCCTTTGTGTTGTTCAGTTCCACCTTTATTTCATGCTGCAAACGCGTAGATGCTGCTGCCATTCTATCCTCATCTTTTTGCTATGTCTCGGCATACTGTTGGCTTACTCTGTTATGTCTAAGAGAACCCTAAAGTTGTATCAATTGGTAAAGAAGAACAGACTAAGTGTCTTATAAGGGCGCTCACCACTGCGATGACCATTCTACCTTGCCATTAAGGCTCTTGCACATGGCTTGGCTGCTTGTATTACACGGTGTCACATCGGCGGACGAATAGTTGTCATCGCCATATGCAGACGTCATTTCGCGCATGAGCTTGGCGCCAACCTTTCTCGCAAGCCCTCGACGACGGAACGATTCCTGATGATTGTCAGTTTCGCCAATGAAAGCCCTAGTGCGATAAAACTTTTACACACCTCGCAATGAACGCTACTGAATGAGCCATCAGGGCCTAGACGCACCAGTCAGTCCTTCTATCTAAGTTGGCAACATTCAAGAGCGACTTTCCTAAGAACCCCCAAGCAACTGGCGTTCCATCTTCAAGCTTAATGAACATGCTCTTCAGCGTTGTAAGAAGTTTCCTACCATAAATCAGCACCAGGGAGCATCATGGCCCATTCGCAACAAACTCACACGCTCCGAGGAATGTTCGTCTTTGACTTGACAATTTCGCAGTCCCCCAACGTCCCTTTCCTCCAGACCAACCCTTGAGGCAATTCAAGTTCCTCCCCCTCAGGCAGCTGATCAATCTTGAAAATAAACTTATCATATCCAGGTTCTTGGGTCGACTCAAACTGCACACCATTCCGCGCAGCGGCGGCTTTCACCGCGTCATGAAGTGAGGCAACAAGGATATATTTGGGGTTAGCCAGCGGCTGGTGCGGGTATAACCTCCCCTGGCGCTTTGCCTCGTTGAGCACTGCTATGATCTGCCGGCTGCAGAGGGTCGTTTCTTCCTCTGAAAGTGGCGGAATGTTACAGTCGGCGCCGTGAAAATCCTCGAAGGTCGAGTAAAGCCACATGTTTGTCTCGTGGCCGCGTGAAGGGTCCAAGTAGGCTGCCGTGAAGTGATGGGGTTGTGGCACTGTTTCGTTGCCATTTTGCCACGATGACCAGTCTACGATTTTAGAAGTGAGCGGTGGATCTGATGCGACGATGATGCGGGTGTGCTCCGTCTTGCCGCTGGGAAACTTTGTAAACTGAAGACGGCGGAGGAGCGTGATAGACCGCGGTAAACGGGCCTGAAGGATGTGGACAAGGTCGCCCGGGACGTCCGTAAAAACTTGAATTGGTATGTCAACAGTCATATGGGGCGAGAGCTTTCCGTGCATGTGGTGATAATCATTTGGTAAAAGTAGTAGCCGGCGATACATCGTAAAACCGACATAATTACGTGCTACTAGGCCTGTAGATGAGTATACCAATCTGAAAACACATGTGGTACAACATCATTGGCTGCTCGATGCCCCTTGCCCAGCACGAAGCCATAATCCAAGGGCGAGTCACCGCGGACAAATCTAACTGCGCCGCCCCCAATCGCTAATAACTAGCCGACAGACCCATATAAATCCGCAAAAACCTGATGATGCCAGAATATCGACTACTAGTACTCCTTTGAGGAACATGCAGTGCATAATAGCCGGATTAAAAATATAAACCCTGTACAAAACCGCTTTTGCCAGGAGCTAGCAGCGGTTCTACACGTCACAAACTCTGAGGAACGGAAGCATCGGAGTGCTGCGTCTCAAAATTAGCTCTCTAGACTAGGAAACAAGCTTTTCGACGATTGAATTGTGCTTCTCCGCGGCGACCACGGTCGCTTCATGCTCGTCGGGGAAAATCTCAATCCTACAGCTGGTCACTTGCACCGACATAAAAGGGGTAGTCTTAAGCGATAAGGTACATGATGATCAAATGTAGTAGCCCTGGCTAAAGTGGATGCCCATAAACCACATTGCGTCGTAACAAGCTGTGTCAAACACAGGGTCATTCTCTCTCATCGGGGTTCGCCGGCAACCGCAGTCAACGGGCCCGTATACTTTGCGGAGCCGGCCGGATCGAGGTCAAACGTATCATGCTACATGGCACTTCGTTACAAGGACGCGACAAGGGACTTAATAACAAGGAGAAATTGATAGCACCCATAGTCGGCGGGTGATAGCTTGTCTAGATGGAGTCAACTAGAACTGAGGCACCGGGCCAGCCCAACATGCTACCTTCCTTGAGTCATTCAGCTCGTCTTGTAAGACGTAATGGCTTACGTCTTGAGGCCGGATATTGACGCTAGATCTTCATTGCCGTTTGAACTAACGCAGAAACAAGCTCAAGCATAACCGCTTTTGCTTGGTTTATGCTAAGGAACCCTAATGTCTCAGCATTGTGATCTCCATCGTCGTTGGGAAACTTTTAGGAGCAATTCAAAGCAATAAACAATGTTGCATAGCAACAGCCTCGGTAATAACGACTTACGGTATGCTCTTCACTGTTCTGCACTACCAGTTACAACGCACAGTAACCAATTACTACGGTCGTAACACTACTAGAGACGGTCTGCATCGTATTATCTATTGCTTTTCTGCTTTGAGGACCAAGTACGATCACGATACATAAACTCCCGCTAATTCCTGGATAGAATGGCTTCTCATAAAGTCCTCCCAAGTAATAGGCTTGATACCGGGGTACTTCAGATTTTCCATATCTGAAGCCACATACGCCTGACCATTAGTCATATAGTACTTATAAAACCTGTGTATCATTAGCATGAGCCTGAAGCGTTTTCAAAGCGGGGCAATGCATACATTGCCAGGTATTTGGATGGGTCATTGGGGTACATGGCACGTAACTCATGCATCGTTGACTTCAGATCTTCGAGTGAACCCTGCCGTTCTAGGTTGGGCTTTACCCCGTACACAGTTTCGAAGATATCGGCAATCCCCTTGATACTTCTTTTGTCGCCGACAACTTTGAAGAATTAGCCACTTCGCAATGCCATCCTAGAGTTTGTGCACAGACTCACACTTCTGTTTACCAACCGCCAAGGGATCAGTCGCAACTGCAGCGGTGAATTCGGCTGCGTTCTCATAAGACGTGTTTTCCCAAGGTTCAGATCCCTCACCCCAATACCTAAAGGTATACGTAGAAGGATCAAACAACTGGAAGTAGGGGCTCATCATAGTATCCATAAAGCCACCAATAAGGATATGAACACCTTTGACAGTCGTTTGGTCCTCAAGATAGGCCTTGACATGTTTCATGGGGTCCTTGGGGAAGAGATCACCAAACTCAAGCTTGGTATAGTCCAGGCACCAATCGCTCGCTATATAGCGAGGGACACCCTCTGCTTCACAAGCATCGATCAACTTCTTCTGGCCTTCGATTAAGAGTTGGTCATCTCCAAGGTATGAGCAAATGACTACATCGCATCCTCGAACAAAAGCGCGAATTCGGTCTGTGTCATAGGCTCCACCTTGAAAGAGTTGTACTTGAGAGGACGAGGATAGAGGGGTGATGACCTTTTTAGGATCTCGACAGTAGCCACGAACAATGACATCCGGCTTCTGAATGAGCTTCGAGGCTAGTAGGCGTCCGAACTTGCCAGTGATACCAGCCAAACCGACAGTGAATACCATTTTAAAGGTACAAGGTAATGTAAAAGATATATCTTAGGTAGAATAATTGTTTTTATAAAGTTTGATATGGATCATTTTCAATATGATGTGTTTTTTGAGATGCTTGATATTTATACCTAAATTTAGTATAACCTTTTGAATGAGAGATTTATAATCGTGGCGATTCTGGATTTCAAATAATTTTGTCCGTAGTTCCCGCGACGCAATAGCATCTTGAACATAATTACAGAGTCGGACCAACAACTTTGGAAAAATGCGAATAGACCGAGTGGGGCGTCGGCAGTGTCTCCAAGCCCATCGTCGGCCTCCGACAGAGGCCGAAACATACGCAACAACTTTGGTACACAGTGTTTTTGCTATACTGTCTAGTAGCGCGTAGCTCAAACTATAGTCAATAAGTGGCTCTAAATCAGATGAGGGGCGGAGGGCATGTCAATTTTGATGCATATGCTTAAATAAATCTCCTCGGTTTATGGCATGCGTGGCAACGTCTAGAAAACAAAACGGCTTATATTCTTTAAGTGAGTAGAGTAATAAGCTTCGCTGAGGGAATCGATCGGTGAGGTCCATAATCTAGCATCACGTGACTATTTAGCTGGAAACAGCAGAGCGGGGCCGACCCTAACGCCGGAAATATCACAACAGAGATAAAAGCCGAAGTGGTAGAAGTAACTTTAGACTGGATATCTTGGCTTCCGGTAGGAAAATAAACCTATAACCCGCGGCAGAAACCTTACTGGTTCCCGCCCATGCTTTAACTAGGTTTCGCAGTATGCTCACCCATAACGCGAAATCTTGTAAATAAAAAAAGGGGGTCGAGCACAAGTACCATATGCCGAAATTCCACTTTCGGCGAGATGACTCATTAGAGCTTGGCGTGGATTGCCGCCTTGAAGAGGCACTTTTTTGTCTGGGACCCAAACATGAGCCACAGATGTTAAGCGATAAGCTTAGCCAGGTGTATGGCGAACCAAGGAGCATCTCGAGCATGCCTTATGTTCGTGGCCTTGGACGTTTAGGGGTCAAATTGCCGGTAGATTCGAATGCAAAGCGATGCCCCTAGGTTTTTAGACTGACTCGGTAGAGCCGGAGTTCATGCCATCACATTAAAATTAAATCTACAATACGCAGTAACATTCACCCGCAAAGTTTGGGGTCTATATGATGCGGAGTGCCCTTTCGCTGTATTCCGTCCGTACAGTTATTAATGTACAAGTGGCAATAAACCGGTCACGGTTTGCCAAGCTGACTCTGCCAGCATTCATGGAAAACGGGATGAAGAATTGATCACATTGAAAGTTAGCAGTTCTCACCGTAACATGTCAGGGGAGACAACAAACATGCGTGTTAGCTACAGCATTTAACAGGCCGCCGCTTATTTGACAGATATGCGCAGCTGATAGAACTGCGGATAGCTGACACGCCAAGGATGATAGTGGTATGTGCCCCACTCGTTCTGTCCAAATTTCGGCGTCGACGACAATTTTGGTGATCCCAGTCTTTCGAAGCCCTTGTTGCAACTGCCTTGGCCCTCGCTTCCTTATTCCATGTGTACAAGCACGAATATTGGCTAAAGCAGATTCGCCACCTGCAGGGATTCCACCGAAACTCGTGTCCGAAGTACCGCTTGGATGGGGTTGAGGGCCTGTCAATCGAGGTGTTGTTGTTGCGTCGGGTCACTACAAGGAGAGCACAGACATCTATAGGAACCGAAGATCTGGAGTCACTTCTGGTTCAGTTTACAAGCGAGCATGCGAGTAATTAAAACCAACAAAGCCAGACTGATGGTCTGTGTGCATAGGGCGGCATCACTGCTGCCGCTGCAGCTACCCTGAGAGGTGGCGCCAAAGCATAACGATATGCGGGCTTCCGTCAGAATCGGTTGCGTTAGCACAACGCGATGAACTTTCGCTGGAAGCCAACAAAGTTGCCAAGGTTTATCGCTCCATGACCAATTCCATTTCTTGGTAGGCTGGGACAGCTTGACCCATGTACGTCGATCTCCTGTAATAAATGGCCAATCAATCCGTTGTTGGCGTGCAAAAGCCTGGCGTGCAAAGGATTGTCGACGCACACTGAATGAGTCGACGGACGAAACCTTACTGGCACCTCTACATCTAGTTCGGTGCAGGCTGTCGAGGATGCAGTAGGGGGAACTATATTTCGGCGTGTGGGAGACGTTGTCAATTGTTGTAGTAAAGAGAGTGTTGTGAATGTGGAAGACCAGACACATGTTTCTGAGCATTCTGAGTCAACCGCGAGCGAGCCTACATAGAATGTCACCCTGTCCGTAGCTGTGAAAGTTCGATTACTCTAGATTTGTTTTGGTTCCACCCGCACAACAAGGATTTTGGAACTGAGGCTATCAAACAGTATGGGATTCAAATTTACCAGCCGTCTATGAGAGGAACGGACACCTTTTTAACAATTGGGTTTGTGTGGCAGGCTGGCCCACAACACATGGCTGCTGCTCGTATTCAGGAAGCGACGATGTGCATATGCTAAATTGAGGACCAGGGCCAACTGACTCACATTGAAATCAGCAGCTCGGCTAGTATGCCCACAGGAGCGATGCAGTACAACACCAGTACTTACTCGCGGGCCTAATTGGCGTTATGAGGTCTTAGCTCCTAACCCCGACACCTGCCACCTCACTGTTCTGGATAGACAGAAGTAGTGACGTACCGAGGAACTCTGTCGTTGGTACGTGAAGTTGATAGAGCAGAACAATATGTGCGTTAGTCGTGGAGAAACCGTAATGTAACCCCTTTCCGATAGCCCCTGCCTAAAGATTGCTAGACACACGATGACGTATCAGTATTCTCCCTATTATCCCTCCCCGGGGGCAACGCGCCAAGAGCCATTATTATTCGATGGTCAGCCGGAACGGTCGGAGAACCAATAGAGAGCGTGAGCAGTTTCGGTGTTACGCGTGGTTATCAAACTGTGAGTGCAAGTGCCAACACCCCGCTAGCATACTTGAGGTGGGGTTTGCCTTTTTTGTTAACATGGACATGAAGTAACAACATATTAGGCTGCCAGACACGAACATAGTCTACGCCTGTGTGCCGTTGGCGACTCCTCAACCAATTTCTTGATCTGAAGAGAGTTTGTGGGTGGGCACCAAAAAACGGCCGGTATCCGCGAGGTGGCCGGTACGTACCGCGTGGAGATGCAAGGTTTGCGTTCATCATCCGATGAACCGCCCCCCTGGTGGTTATTGCTTCTCAAGAGAGGGGAGGTGTGCACATATAAAATGGGCTTTCAACATGGGCCGCCCCTGTAGAAGTGTGATCTGCAAGGACAAGCAACGTGTGACCCCCATGTCCCAATTCATAGGTAATCTGGACTACCCAGAATGCATTGACCTCGACTTTTGAACCAATCATGTCATGCTTCATCGACAACACATCTTTCCAACAGCAGACATACACCCATTCGGACATTAGGCTGAATAAGACACAGCTATCGTAGGAGGCAAAGGTTGATTGGTGTCCGCTTTTCGCGCCAATGGTGGTTAGGGAGCGACTGCAAGATGTTGGGCTGATCGCTTGCTTCTGCTCATGTAGGTAATAATGCAAAAATTCCTTCAATTTTCTGAAACGAATGGATTTGGGGTAACTACCCGTTTGTTATGAATCTAAACTTTCCCCTTTATATCTCACTGTGCAGCTGGTATATAGCTCTCTCCATGTTGACAGCAGATGGGTTTTCCTTCGCCCCGTAACTAACAGACGCAGCATTTACCAGCCCATGACGAGCTGCGCCCTCTCGACCTTATGGCAACGCTTCAAACCGCCACTCTAGCCCCTTATCCACATTTAGTCTGCTAGCCTTGGCTTTCATAATCACAGACGAAAATGAAACAGACTTGCTCAAGGCGACAAGTTAGTCGAGTAGAAAACTAAATCGCCAAAAAGTCACACGCGATACTTCGTACCCCCGTCCCCCCAATCCAGGGTTATCTGGGTGAGCATCGCAAAACGGTAGCGCTAGGGTAGGCGGCGTTTGCTCCCGTGGCCCCCTACCAAGCCAAGCTCACTTCGGACTCTCTTGGCCGCCTTCTGGCCGAGGCTGGCGTTGGGTGCGTGAGGCGACAAGTAGAGATCAATTGAAGTGGCTACTTTCTATTAATTAATTGTTGTCTTACGCAAAGACGCTAAAAACTCTTGTCCACAAAGCCAGCCCCTCCACCAGGCCGCGGGTAGCATGGAACGAACTCGAAGGGGGAGGTCAAGGCGATACTAAGAAACGTTGATGGATTAGGATTATTATCAGGTCACCTGCGAAGAAGCATTACACATGGGTAATCCTTAGAAAGATTCAATTATGAGACCTCCTCATGGCTTGAAAAAAGCCACCAATCAGTCCGGCCATGTTCAGGTCACATGGCACTAGTTGCCGTGACGCCTTCGGGTGATCTATATTATTCTTGCTACAATTGTATTATCACATTTTGATAGCTCAAAGCCTCAACTTCTTTCATTCGACAGCTCCATGGTACGCGGGCGTAGGTGAGCTCCAGACAGGCAATTATTTGCAAGGCTTCGGATGAATTGCTCCTTATCGAATGTTTTGGGGCCCAGCTATTTGTTTCGATGACTGAGGTAATGCTAGAATTCTCGAATATTCACAACGCTTCGGAGATTTTTTTGATCATTCCAATGCTATGGTGAAACATGATTTTGAATGAATAGGTTCAAATAACGTGCCAAAAAACTGGGCTATGGATGTTCAGGTCAATGTAATATGTCTTACAATTTTCGACTTGCCTACCTTTGACAAGATGTCATCTTTTTCCAGCTTTTGCCGATACCTTTCGGCGAGATCTTGAAACTTGGCAAACAAATCATCACCACCACTACCTATCATGGTGACATTGAAAGGTACTGCATGGGTTCCCTTGCTTAAGTGTCCCCTGGAGAGACCCCGCTAGGACTGTCTTCTTCACAAGCCCAAGGGCGTCTTCTTATTTGCTTTCCATTGATAATCAAGTTGGGATATGTTCATCTTATGGACAAAATTTTGGCAGCTTAAAGTTTCAGCAGGTTCAAATCGGTATAAATTCCAGTAGTTACGAAATTCGAGCCGGCCATTGCGCTGTACCCCCAGATTTCCCATTTTAAATTCCGGTACCCCAGCCAGTGTTCAGTACAGCATGCCATAGCAGTGTGACTATAACCGCACTACACCTCAAGGTCCTGGTTTAATAAAGCAGAGTTTTTGAGTAAGCGATAGAAGTTCTATTTCCGCAGGGTTTCTTGCATCAATTGGCCAATTAGCGGGCCAACCTTCATAGTGAAGGGGACGATCTTCAGTGCTGGCCTTTAGAAGCGATAAGAAAATATATGAATCCAGGTAAAGTGGAGAGATTTCCCTAAGCTCTACAATTACATTTGCATGACGTTGATTACAATCTCTCGCGATTAGACTTTTAGCATTCCTTGATCCCGGAGTAGGTAAAGTAATAAAGTCGCGAGAAGATATTATATCTTATACTATTTATTAGTCTCTAAGGGTAACTTACTAAATAGGAGTAATTAAAGTATTATAGCTAGCTAAGTAATAATAAGGTTCTACTAATAGAAAGTATAGTTAGAGACTAATAATAATAACTCTTTTATAATTATAAGTATATCTAATAGATCATAGGGTTAAGGTAAGGTAATTAGTCTTACTCTATAATAACGAGGTATCTAGTATTTATAATGCTAATAGGTAGCTAAAAGTTATTCGAGGATAAATCATAAGTTGATTACTAAAGAACTATCTAGAAGGCTTAAGTAGATACTTAAGTCCTAGTCTATATATAAGTCCTATTTCCTAAGGCTAATAATGAGGTTATTATAAGCCGAAGTTCTCATTATCGCTAGCTGACTCTCTAGGTATCGGTAGCCGATACGCTAAGAGTCGTATCTTTTCTTATCATCACGTAACTTAAACATAGTTCTTCCTTCCTAGCGGGGTAACCCTTATCCTTCCGTTACCTATATATATCTTATCCCTAGCTGCTATCCTTCAGTAGGGCGGTTCTCTATTAGGCATACTTAACGAGTCGTAATATAAAGATACATACTATAGACTCGTCGGCTAGGTTTTAGCATATAGAACGCTGCTCCGTAGAATTTTCATAACCGGCTACGACTCTAGGCTTATTACTTACTAAAGATAAAGGAGATACAGGCTAGCTACTATCCTAATTTTCCTTCTCGTTATCCGAGATAAAAACAGTATTACCTAGAGAAGACGCAGTTCCGATAAGTTTTAAAGGTACTGGGTTAGGAGTCTAGCTTATAGTATTTCCAGCTGAGATATTCTAGAGACTCTACTACGGAGCTATATAAAAAGAGATATTATAGAGACTAATATTTTGCAATATTATTAACTATAGAGGAATTATTTACTAAGATTTCCGATATATAACTCAAGGTTATATATAAGTATACTCCTACCTTATATATTATCCTAAACTATAGTTACCCGAAACGCGAATAATAATAGGGCAAATCCATAATATATGAAATTTATTAGCTTTCTATCTATCTCCGCATATCGTGAATAATAAAGTAAATTAGGTATATCCGTTCCGACATCATGCTTAGCCGTTATCAAGTCGTTACTAATAAGCACCGTTCAGCATGGCGATATTAATAAACCTGGAACCGGCGTCTCCGAGCCAGCGTGCATGACATTCTCCTATTTGGCGGAATGGTCGATCAGCCCGTGATCTGTCGGCTCCATTCTCAATGAATGTTTAGTGTATGAATTGAACAAACAGGCTCTCGATATCCGTTTGTGTCGCCATTTCTTCTGCACTTCATCTCCTGAGATATCATCACCCAATTTTCCCTAGTTCCACTGTTCATCTCTCTCTCACTAGACTCATGGCTTAATACCTTTTCGTTGCAGAGACCTTGGAAAAAACAATCCAGGGTTGTTTAGGTTTTTTTTTTTCGTACGCTGGCAACGTCCCTGTAAAAGGCAAACATTTTTAGCATCTCCACACAACATTGGACTGTCTTATATCGCCAGACTCAGCTTTATTCTCATAGAAGCCATAGTCGCTGGCATGAAGGAGAATGCTCTGAGAGTTTCTGTGTTTAATCAAATTCTCCAGATATTCATAGTAACTCTCCCTCTTGGATTGCCACACCTCATGACACCGACGGTCCCTCAGATTGTTCATACTCCAGGAAGTTCAAAACGCCAAGACAGGCTTTTCGCATGGACCTGTCACCGCAAAGTTTTACTTACAAATAGATTGCTCCCCACTAGTTCTTCAACGGGCTTGATGCCGTCGAGCCTCATTCTCAATATCACGAGGCACGTGTCGTCTGTCAATCCTCTGACCTACTACAAAATAGCCGTTAGTAGCATCTTGATTTTTGCTACTGTCATCATACTACTGCTAGCGACACCAAATATATGCGCCCAAAAACAACCCACATGGCCACTCCTGACATGAGGTATGATTTAGGGGATGTGCCCAAACCCCATTCATTGTCAAATACACAACCACGATGGTAGCAACATCCAAGGGCAAGCAGTTAATTCGTATTTTGATTAAAATAAATGCATTCGTTGGTCATTTCTATCGTCATTAGTCAGAGTCATACATCATGAAGCGTCTCAGTGTACAATCAGAATCGACGCATCCGGCAGCTGGTTGTTTTCGCTGACACACATCAAGAGTTGTAGGATCTACTCAAGCTGCGTCATACTTAAACGTTCCTCCAACGTCGCCCGGGCTTCCTCAATAATTTGCACCAAAAAGGTCCAGACGTTTACGCATGCTCGGATCTCCTCGGCTTGTTTCCTCGCCTGTCTCAGCTCGCGAACTGCCTGATCGAACTCCCTTTGAGTGGCAGCATCTACTTCATTCTTTGAGGTGAAATCTTGGTGCTGCTGAGTTTCCAGTTCTTTCTTCTTAATATTGGCGTCAGCGGCCGCCGAGGTGGCAGTCGCCATTTCGGCCAGCCTTTCTAGAGCCGAGCAGGTACGCATAAGATGCCGGTGAGCCGCGGTCCAGGTCGAAAGCCGAGACCGGACAGCTCTGGCTGTGTCTGCTCGCAAGCGCCTCTGAGCTTCCACAACATGTGCGGCGAAGTCGTCAAGCTCGTTTATGTTGCATACGGATCCATCATGAGTGGCCTCGGTCTTGAGCTCCGGTAGCTGAATTGGGAAACGCGGAAGGGCTAGCTGGCTCTCGTTGAGGTATTTAGCTAGGAACAGGCGTCGTAGGTCTTCCTTTGCTGCAATCGGCTGTTCCGGGGGCGGGTAGCTCAATTCCCTCATAATATGAATTATGATGCGCCATAACCTTGTGTCAAAAGCTAGCAAGGTCTTCTGAGAGACTATATGGGCTGCAAACGCAATAACATAGACGCCACAGTCGTTGGTGTTGGTCTGTTGGGCGCAGGGTATATTGGCGATGTACCCGGGAAGACGTGTAGATTTGGCTATGTACCGGTCGCAAAAGACTTCGAGCTGCTCATAGGACGTCTCGGTATGCGCCTTGCTTTCAAGAGAGTCGTACAAGTCGACTTCTATAGAGGCCATCCTGTCTCTGCGCATAATAGCGAGGACCCAATGTTTGTTGTGAAACAAGGGTAAAATGCAGGGGCTGGCAGATCGCGACATAGTAACGTAGGTCGACTGGCTTAATTTGGCTTGGCTTCCCGTGGTAAGGGAGTCAATCAGCAGCCAGCATGGCTCTCCGGGCTGTCGTTCTCCAGCTGACATGGTAATTATGGAGAGACACTGGGCCACAACAGTGCCCGACAGCCAGGCCGTGTCATCTAAAATCGGCGTACTCATACTCTGCATTTCTATGGCGGTACTAGCGTCGGACGGAGTAACAAGACTGTTATGTTGAAGAGACGAAGCTTGTTTCAAAGAAGTGGGGGAGAAGAGCGATGTTTGACTGTCTGAAGGACGTGAAAGTCTCTGCAGAGACTTGGCAAGACTTTCGTCCTTGGGAGACTGGAGAATGTCGCTTTTCTGACTCAAAAGTGAGTCGTCCAAGGCGGGAAACTGTGATCGACCGACCTCGGGGGACTCGAAAGACTCGGGGCATGTCTCGCGCTGTGAGGACTTTTTTTTGAAATGGAAACTTGAGTCGAAATCAAGGGCTTCCGGTGATAGTCTTTGTCCTTCTGTCTTGATGCGTTTTCGAGGTGTGACTGGTTTGGCCTGGGCCGAGGACCGGCGATGCTTCCTGGCGGTGATGTTTGGATCCAGACGAAACCCGATGTCAACATCAGCATTAGCCACAGCATCAACACTAGCACTTTCGAAAAGAGCCGATTGTTCTGGGTTGGCTTTGGGTAGTGTAAACTTCGGAGGTGCGGTAGCGAGCGGGACGGGCGATGCGCCTAACTCTTGCTGCCACACAGCTGACTCTTCAATGATGGTGGATAAGTCGTGGTCGAAAGATGCCGGTAGATGTGTGCGCGTCAGCACGTTCGAGTTTCGGACATTCACATTACCGTCGTCAGTGTTGCGCTTGTTTAGGTTCGGGACATCCGCGTCACTGTCGTCACTGTCGCGGTCATTTAGGTACGGGACGTCCGCTTCGCTGCCGTCACTATCACGATCGGCGAAGAAGTCATCATCAACAACAAGACGATCTACATGCTCTCTGCCATTGCGTGAAGCGATCTCCTCGTTCTTGGAAACCACGCTTGAAGCCTTGTCGCTGTCGTCGTCGTCTTGAACTGGCTTTTCGCTGGCCGGCTTGGACGGCCTCTCCCTCTTGGGCCAGGCGTTGGGGCAGACTTTGAACAGGTTAGCATAGGAGAGTAAAGATACTCAAGAACAGGTGCTCACGACTGACAACCGCTTCCTTCAAGCGGTCAACGGCCTTCCGATTCTTGCGATTTGCCTTTCCGCGTGTGCCACGAGCCTGGAGCGACGGAGCGGTGCGCTCGAAAGCCTCGTAAAGTTGAATGATGTCAGGGTGAGAAAGATTCTGGTGGAGGTTCTTTAGGGCTTCGTGTGTGACGCGGCTCAGGGCAACTTCAGTGCCGAAGAGGAAGACGAAGATGGATTTAGAGACGGACCAGCGATCAAGAGTAGCCGACAGGCGGTAGTGAGCCTCAGCAGAGATGACTGACTCGTCAATTTTCCCGAGGGTGTCAGCCAAGTCCAAGTCAAGGGCAGCTTTAAGCACCGCACGGTTGACTTGTTTGAGGACGAAGGCGGAAAACGAGTCGTCATCCACGGTGCGGCGGGCATCAGCGATGTTAGCGTCGAAGTCTTGTCGCAACTGTTTCCACAGTTCCAAAATGGGATCAATCTGACGGAAGCCGGGGTCTGCGAGGAGATTGAGGCTAGCGAGTGTAGACTGCAGCATTGGTGGAATGGACTGGCCGCATCGCAAGTTGCGCTGCTGTGCTGCGGACGTTTGCTTGATCTCTTAATTGAACAGAGGACGCGCGCTGTTGAAGGAGATGTTGAAAGAAAGACGCGAAGCAACGCGGAGTCACGTGACTGATTGTGATGGTAGAAAAAATGTGTTATGGAAACTGCATACGTAAGCGATTGTCGGATTGACACTAGAGGTTGTAGTGTCAACACAGTTTTTGTGGTGTCAACACACCACTTCGATGTGGAAAGTGGGTCCGAGCACCACGTGATTCTCGCTCATCTGAGCTCCCTTGCAAGTGTTTTATTATGTCAGCCCAAGTTACCAAAACCAAGTGTCGATTGTCTTAGATCAATCGATCAATGAGCCCAAGTCCTCAGCAAGATACGAGCATTGTTACTAAAAGAAAAAGAAAAAAGAAAAATCTAGGAATGCATTTAGATAGAATTCTACCTTATTTCGTAAATATAAACACGGTCAAGCAAAGCTGAAGATGAGTAGAAGCCAAACAATCGCTTTGCAGTCAGCTCCAATATGAAAACCCGCCGTATGCTGACAGCATAATTAGTCAGCTCTCTCTCTAGCAGAACATAATGGCGCCGCCCACAGCGTTACTGAGTGCGAAGGGAGCAGTTACTCTGCTACATGAGGTTCTCGTTTGAGCCGTTACAGAGGCTGGCTTAAATGGTACAGCGCTTGTTGCGGTCGAAATTAGCAGGGTGGGGGCGGGCACGGGTGCAGATTCCAGCAGCTAAACCTGCTGGAGTTCCGCCGGATCCACTTTTTGCGTTGCCTAAACATTGCTCATGCCCGCCCGTTGAGATGATGGGCGTCAGTTTTCTTCCTCACATCAAAGACTGGCTGGGGGCTTTCGCAAAACGCTGACTACAATTGATGGCGAATCTATACAGGATACAATCGGCGACGTAGATTATAGGAACAAGACTCACTTCCATACAATTGTCATCATCTCGCGAAATTTCAGTCTTGTGATATTGACCGATGCCACAGTCACCAAATAGCCGCCACACTCTTGTCGGCATTCTTGGTTCCCTAGTCCGAGTCCTGAATTATTGGAAACACAGGCTGTACGTTGTCGAATTCTGGGCCCAAACGGCTTGCATTTCGAGAGGCGGCAGAGCAAGACCCCACATCATCACCGTTGATATTGATCGAGGACAAAGGAGTCTTCTCCAATGGTTGAGTTAGCAGGTTAAACTCTGTTGAGGCGACGGCAATGATATGCACCTCTCCCCCTCTTGTTTTGTAGTAATCTAGTGGGGAAAATGAAATTCAAAATGCTTTGTTCTTCTGCTTGCATGCTCAGTCCGCTGGTAACCTGCAAGACCTCAGTCCAATTTTCCCTTCTAGAAATCCTTTCTCTAGCATCTCAATTGCTGCTCTTAGAGCCTTTTCCTCTATGCTGCTGGACTTATGTAGAGCATTTTTCTCTGCATTATTGGCATCAGTTCCATAGGCATTCGCCAGTTATGCGGTCTCTTGGGCAGTTCTTTTGGCCTTCCAGGCGGCTCTGAGCTCAGTCTCGACTTTGGGAGTTCTTCTCCAAGCCATTAGGAGCCTGTGATCCTCGACCAGGCTGGCTCTGTAGTAATCAGGTAATGTTTCTCTTGCATTGGCGACGCCCTTCGGTGGACTGGGGTTTTCTCGTGCAGTTTTTCTTTTTTCTTTTGAGCTGTTTCGGCAGGAGGTTAAGAAGTCTTGTACGTTATGGGGCTGTGTTGCGACTCAAAGCACGGATTTGCTAAGAATCTGATGGTCTAAGAACAAAGCAAAGACGCTGCGATGGACGCCGTCGTTTTGTGTAATGCAGACCTATCCCTTGTTATTGTTTTCTGTCAACGGGGTATATACATAGACGTGGCAAAGGATAGATCATCTGGCAATCCACGAACCTCCTGCTCGAAATGGACTTCAGTGGGGTATTAATCTTGTTAGAAGCTTGGCGAATGCGGTTTGTGGTTCTTGGCTACGACCTGGATTGTGTGGCCTCGGGAGGTGCTCTGATGGAGACAGCAGTGCGTATAGACCTTGACTAACGTAAGGTCGCGTTGGAGAAGGTTGAGATAATGGATGTCATCGTAAAATTTGGGGGTTTGGTTTCAGTACTCGCATCTATCAATGGAGGCGTCAGCAAATCAGAACGCGATACTAAGGCAAGCCAAAGGCGTACTTTTACGGGCCATAGAACCAGTCGGAGAGCTGAAAGAAATTCTTCATCCTCCTGGGTGCTGGTGGGGTCCTGTCGTTGACAGTATCCATTCCTGTGGGTTGATGTGTCTGTTGGGAAATTTTGGGTCTGGCGGCAGTAGAGAAGTTGAGGGGCGCCGTTGTCCAATGGAGTGTTGGCCAATTTTCTGCCGTGATGGTCAAAGATCAGGCCTAGTAACAGGTGGTGGTGATTTGGGTGAAATTCGGGGGAATTGGCTACAATGCCCCTAATGGTTGCCTTGCCATACCTTTGAGCAATGGCCGCTGAAAAACACCAAAGTATGCTGCCAGGACAGTTGTTGCTGCAAGATGATTGCTACAAGACATTAGAGTAGGCTGCAAAATAGAGTACGTTGCAAAAATAACGGTCGCTGCAAGAATAATAGTTGTAATAAAAGATTTTTATTGCAAGAATAAGTGTCGCTGCAAGAAATCATAGAAGGCTGCAAGAAAAGCGTTGCTACAATAATAAATGTCGCTACAAGAAATCAGAGTAGGCTATAAGAAAAGTGTTGCTACAAGATCATTGCTGCAAGAATATAAGTGGGTACTATTGTACAAGACTAGATCTGCAAGACCGGCGCTGCAAAGACATAGCTGCAAGGCCAGTGCTGTAAGGAAGGGGTTACTGATGTCGCCAGACTGCAAAGTGGACCTAACCAGAGACCAAATTAGTCATCAACACTACTGAACACGCCATTTGCTTCTGACAACACATCAGAGACATGAACGCCCTCGATTTATCTTTTTCAGAGCCAAACCTGCGCGGCGACCTCTGTCCCTAAAAGGCAGATTTCAAGTGGCTATGCCGGTCACCCATAAAGGGTGCGCGCCCATTCTTAGAAGGTCTTTGAGGTATGGATTTGATGGATTTGGGGTGCTTTGATGGCGGATCTGGATGATGTATCAATCGTGGGTAACCTCAGTTGATGGAGAAGATATGGTCTCCCGACGTATTGGGGATGGACAAGTTATAATTCGCACCAGGTGTGTGCATGCTGCGTTCCAACATTGATACATACAACATCACAATAATACATCCACGCTCGTTTTCTTTTGGTGTTCATCAAACCAACAGCTTGTTCTGCAAGTTCCAAGGACCTGGCCTGCCATTCCACCTCACTGTTTGATCAAATTTGTAGAGATCAATTTCAACTTCTCAAATACGTTTTGATTCTAATCGTAACTTGTACTGGTATTGCATGTCCATAGATGTCTGCTCGCCTCCATATCTAGATTCATGGCATTATTTTCTTTGCCTTATCGGAGCTTGCCAGAGCTCTGGCAGTGATCTTATCGATAAAGGTCTATCTTATCATGATGAGGTCAAAGTAAGGTTGGGACACCAAGGGAAGGAAGGAACCACGCTAGCTCAAGCGAGACAGAGAACTACAGGCTCCGTAATTAATTGCCTAGCCAGCAACCGCCACCCACCTTTATTAGGTGAGGCAACTGCCAAAACCCAATTAAAGTAGAGGCAGACAAGGGTCGTGCATGTCCATGTCCATACTACGGGTACGTATCCATACGCATCACTCTTATCCAACATATCCATTTCCACATCTTGAACTTCTCCCTCTGATTAAATATTTCCATCCCAAGTCACCATCACTACCGGCAGGTATCACGACAAAGGAAACGCCTCCAATCTATTGAGTCTGGTTGGGTTACCATTCATTCCTCCACCGCGAGCGACGTCACGCCGCCGTCGGCACCAGCAGAGGCAGCGACCTTAGCCCTCCCGGCATTATTTTATGCCATTTCAAGCTATGTACGTCTTCCTCTTTTTATTCCAGAATGTTATTAACTCATCGATGCCTTGGCTGCTGCAGAAGACATGTGCGATTTTCTACCTCTCAAGAGCCCGAAGTACCCCGACCATCCTGACCTGAACCCAAATACCGATCCCAAACACAACCTCGCAAGACAAATCACAACATATACCAATCCGAGTCCATTGCATCATCGAACTAAGGAGCCAGAGTGTAAGGCTCCTCACAATAATCAACAGCTTCAGCGCCCTCCCTGCTTGTTCCACTACCTCTCCAGACATGAACCCTACAATGTTCGAAACCAACTTGACGTCGTCACTCATCTCCCACAACTCATCGATCTCTGTTTCTACAATTCCTTCCAAGCAAATCCCAACCATCATAACGACGTCCTCAACCTCATCAGTCCCCTCATCACCCACCCGAGCCTTTAAGAACGAGTCCAAGTCTGACTTCAAACCAACAGACACACTTGTTTCAGGGTCCCCAACCGATCCCATCATTTCTACACTACTACTCCCTTCAACAGCCCCTTACACTGATGAAGTATACCCAAGCCCAGTGACTGACACCATACTGAGATTTCTCTTAACCTTCTTATTAACCTCCTAACAATAGTTTGCAAGTAGGAAACTCTCTTCTTGGTGCTACTCGTTCCCACCGATCGCACTTAGAACTCTCAAGCCAGCAACGCCGGGTCCCGTGGTCCACAATTTATCCGCAAGCTTGTTCATCATGTCGTTCAACACCTCGACCGCGCCCTCGGGCCGATTCTTTGTTCCTTGATTTCATCCACCTTGTTGTTCTCAAATCTTTTCGATAATACCCGCCGTTGAACTATTGAACTTGCGACTGGTTCCCAGCTGTCGCAAAGATACCTTCGAGTCGTGATTGAGGATATCTCCGGCTTGGAAGACCGTCTTCGTCATCAACTCCTCCCTCGACGGCAACCACGTCTTCGATATCTACAACACAAACATCATACAA